GAGACTAAGAAAAGGGGATAAAGAATGTATACTGCATTGAAACAGATGAGGGAGAGAGAACTGTTTAAAAGGAATATAGGATTAGGTATTATTTTCATGAAAAGAGTCTAAAATGAGAGCTACATTGTGGAGTGGACTGGGGGAGAAGGGAGCAGAATTGTATAACAATAATTTTTTTTTCAAAGAGAAAAGTGAACTGGGGGAGGGGTAGGCAGGAAGGAAAATGCAACAGTGAATAAATGGAAATCCAAAGTCTTCATACACTTTGATTAAAATGTAAAAAATATATTTGAGGGAGGACCATGTGCAACAATGAATGATTTAAAAATATTTTTAAAAAAACAAATTAGAAAATTTTAAAAAAAGAAAATACTCTCCTAAGTATCATGTAAGTGGACATTGCTGTTATGTCCCCTCAAGTAAAAATGAACTGATCGGTGACCCTGCAGTGAGTTTTTGTTGTTGTTATGTGCCATCGAGTCACCTGCCGCTCATACTACAATATCTCTAAACCCTGCTCTATTCTGTGATTCACCCACCCCCCATTACCCCAGTCACTGAATCAATCTCATCTCTCCTTCGCTGTCCCTCCACCCTCCCAAGCATGATGTCCCTCTCCAAGGACTGGTCCCTCTTTGAAACATGTCCACAGTATGTCAGACGAAGCTTCAGAATCCTTGACTCCAAGGAGCATGCTGGCTTCACCCCCTCCAGTACAAATCTGTTCATTCTCTTAGTTTTTAGAAGCTATAAATCACATGGGAAGATACAGCCCCATCTTTCTCCCATAGACGAGCTGTTAGATTAAAACTGTAAGCCTTTGGGTTTTCAGTGCAACTTCTTACCACTAAGTCGTCAGAGCTCCCATGGAATCTCTAATAAAACAACGGATAGAAATGAAATGTATTGAACTCAGCTAAAAATACCATCTACAGCATTAAAGTAAGATTAAAAATCAGGCTACAAATTAATGAACAGAATATTGAGTTCCCAAAATTAGAAAAAAAAGAAATCATTAATGAAGATAAAATTATATTTCATGACAAAATAGGAGAAAATAAGCAAAATAGAAAATTAGTTCACTACAAAAAAATTTAAAAATAAGGCGGCGGGGACAGCAGCGGGAGCTACAATCTGCTCTTCCCGGGTTCCCGCTGCGGTATCTACATGGGGCTGGTCTGTGGCGTCGGTGCGCACTGAGAACATTTACAGTGCTACACTAAGGGTAGAAGCCTGCTACTCAATCGGATTTCAAAGTCCAGAAAAATTGGCCTTTGTGAGAAGCAGGAAATAATTTAAAATTCTGTCTCTTAGATTTCCTTTTTATTTCATATTGGAAAAACATCGAGAAACCATGAACAGCTTTAGTAATGAAGAGTTTGACTGCCATTTCCTTGATGAAAGTTTTACTGCCAAGGATATTCTGGACCAAAAAGTTAATGAAGTTTCCTCTTCAGATGATAAAGATGCCTTTTATGTTGCAGACCTTGAAGATATCCTGAAGAAGCATCTAAGATGGCTAAAAGCTCTTCCTCGGGTCACTCCCTTTTATGCAGTCAAATGTAATGATGGCAGACCCATAGTGATGACGTTGGCTACCATAGGGATAGGATTTGACTGTGCTAGTAAGAATGAAACACAGCTTTGCAGTCTTGGGGTGCCTTCACAGAGGATAGTCTATGCAAATCCTTGTAAACAAGTATCTCAAATTAAGTATGCTGCCAATAATGGAGTTCAAATGATGACTTTTGATAGTGAATTAAAGCAGATGAAAGTTGCCAGGGCACATCCAAAGGCAAAGTTGGTTTTGTGGATTGCCACTAATGATTCCAAAGCAGTCGCCTTAGAGTTAAAGTTGGTGCCACACTCCAAACGAGCAGGCATCTTTTAGAACGGGCTAAAAAACTCAACATTGATGTCATTGGTGTCAGCTTCTATGTGGGAAGTGGCTATACTGACCCAGAGACCTTTGTGCAAACAATATCTGATGCCCGTTGTGTGTTTGACGTGGGAGCTGAGGCTGGTTTTAGCATGTATCTGCTTGATATTGGTGGCGGGTTTCCTGGATCTGAGGATGTGAAGCTTAAATTGGAAGAGATCACCTATGTAATCCAGCATTGGACAAGTATTTTCCATCAAACTGTGGAGTAAAAAATCATAGCTGAGCCAGGCAGATGCATCAGCTCTCACTCTTTATGTTAATATCATTGCCAAGAAACTTGTATTAAGGGCTCTGATGATGAAAATGAATCGAGTGAAGAAACCTTTAAGTATTATGTGAATGATGGGGTATATGGCTCATTTAATTGCATCCTTTACAGTCATGCACATGTAAAGCCCCTGCTGCAAAAGAGACCCAAACCAGATGAGAAGTATTACTCATATAGCATATGGTGACCCACATGTGATGGCCTGGATCGGATTGTTGAGCTCCGTAACCTGCCAGAAATGCATGTGTGTGACTGGATGTTGTTTGAAAACATGGGTGCTTACACTGTTGCTGCTGCCTCTATTTCAATGGATTCCAGAGGCCAACTATCTACTGTGTGCTGTCTGGGCCAACATGGCAACTCATGCTGCAAATCAAGAACCATGAGTATCCACTCGAAGTGGTGGAGCAGGATGTCAGCACTCTGCCCTTGTCTTGCGCTTGGGAAAGTGGAATGAAATGGCATCCAACAAGTTGTGCTTCAGCTAGTATTAATGTGTAGATACCATTTTGGTAGTTGTTAACTCCAAGTTTAGCTTGAATTAAGGGATGTGGGCGGACCATTTAACTGACTGGAAGAGATCTATATTTGTTCCCATTCCAAAGAAGGGTGACCCAACAGAGTGTGGAAACTATAGAACAATCTCACTGATTTCACATGAAAGCAAGATTCTACTGAAGATTATCCAACAAAGACTGGAACAGCACATCAGCAGAGAACTTCCAGAAGTCCAGGCTGGGTTTAGAAGGGGTCGTGGTCTATCTGTGTTTCATTGATTATGCAAAGACTGTGTGGATCATAACAAACTGTGGCTGACTCTGAGAAGGATGGGAATCCCAGAACACTTGATAGTGCTAATGCGAAACCTATACTTGGACCAAGAGGCAGTAGTCAGAACAGAGCAGGGTAACACTGCATGGTTCAAAATTGGGAAGGGCGTATGCCAGGGATGCGTCCTATCTCCATACCTTTTCAACCTGTATGCAGAACAGATTATCCAGGAGGCTGGGCTCTATGAGGAGAAATGTGGCATCAGGATTGGTGTAAGGTCTATCAACAATCTGCGTTATGCAGCTGACACAACCCTGCTTGCTGAAACTGAGGAGGACCTCATGCACTTGCTGCAAAGGGTCAAGGACTGCAGCCTTCAGTATGGATTGAGGCTCAATGTCAAGAAGACAAAGATTCTCACCACTGGACCAATTGGCAGCGTCAGGATGGATGACGAAGAGATTGAGATTGCTCACAGCTTTAGTCTGCTTGGCTCCACAATCAACACTCTTGGTACCAGCAGCCAGGAAATTAAAAGGCGTATTGCGATGGGAAAGTCTGCTGTTAGGGACCTCTCCAAAGTACCGAAGAGCAATGGTGTCTCTCTGGAGACTAAAGTGCGTCTGATAGAGGCCATGGTCTTTGCAATCACTTGTTATGCATCAGAGAGTTGGATAATGACTAAGGAGGATAGAAAGAGAATTGATACCTTTGAATTGTGGTGCTGGAGATGAGTATTGAGAATACCATGGACTGTTAGGAAAACAAACAGATTCATCCTGGAAAGGGTTAAAGCGGGTGGCTCCTTGGAGGCAAGGATGCTGAGGCTCCGTCTAACATACTTTGGACATGTTGTAAGGAGAGTCCAGTCTTTGGAGAAGGACATCATCCTTGGAAGGGTGGATAGACAGCACAGGAGGTTGGAAGGCCCTCTATGAGGTGGATTGATTCAGTGACTGGGGTAACCGGGATGGGAGTGTCAAAGACAGTGCAATTGGCACAGGACAGAGCAGAGTTTAGGGCTGTTGTACATAGGGTCGCTATGAGTTCCAAGCAACTCGACAGCACATAACAACAACAATATTGTTAGTTTTGAAATGTCTTTATATGAGTAGGGTGGGATGGAACAGATGCAACAGTATGGAAGAATAGGCAATGGGGTCACACTTATCTGTGTTCCTATGGAAACTATTTGAATATTTGTTTTCTATACATTTTTATTCACTTTTCACGCATATTGCTAAAGAATGTACCCAGCTGCTGAGCAAGCATTTGTAGCTTATCCAGGGGCAGAATGGGCCAAAGGTTAGTGTTGTGACCTGTTTCAAAAATAAAGTATCTTGACATAAAAAAAATTAAAAATAATACTCCACTTTTGCCATCAAGTCAAAACCAACTTATTGCTGACCCTCCAGTGGGTTTTCAGAGACTGTAAATTGCATGGGGAAAGATCCATCCATCTTTTTCCCTCAGAACAGCTGGTGGACTGAATCTTTTAATTAGTTTCCTGTTGCTCTTTAATGGACTATTAAATAACTCTCGATCAAATTTACTTACCATGTGATTCTTTGGACAGATGATGTGACCTCAGTGGCACAGTTCTGTCCTGGGCTAGGTTTATTCATACCTCTTCAGCCAGATGTCAGGTTGGTGGAGACTGACTGATACAGGAAAGCCTCTTGGAACAGGATGTCTCTGCACCATGTGGTCTCTTACTCAGCATCATCCTCAGACTCATTCACATGAAAGTTTTCCAAGAGAAAATAGCAAGAGTCCTCTTGAGGCTGAAACTTAAAATTACTTTTTATTCCTTCAAGCATAACCTGTTGATTAGAGGAGGTGATCACAAAATGACGTATTTTATGAATTTACCAAGATGAGAAGTGACAATCCATATAGAACGAAGTTTGTTAGGCCAATCTGCTGTTAAGGACTTCTTTAAAATGTTAAAGAGCAAAGAAGTCAATTTAAAGATTAAAGTATGCCAGACTTAAACCAGGGTGTTTTCAATTGCTTCCTAATTCATGTGAAAGTTGAACAATAAATGCAGAAGACTTACAAGGTGATGCTTTTGAATTGTAGTGTTGGAAAAGAACATTAAATATACCCTTAAAAAAATATCTACCTTAGAAAAAGTGGAACCAGGTCATTCTTAAAGACAAGGATGGTGAGACTTTGTTAGGCATATTCCCAAAAAACACGAGTCCTTGGGAAAAGGCATCATCATGCTCAGCAAAGTAAGTCATCAAAAGAGAATGCAACTCTTAAAATGAATTGGCACAGTGACTGTAATAGAGGGTTTACCTACGAGGAAATCGTGATGACGGCATAGGACAGAACAAGGTTTTGATCTTTCATATATTATGTTTGCTATGAGCTGGAATCAAATTGGCGGCGCCTGACAACAACAACAGGAGTAGGAGAGTTGGAGGAAAGGAGGTTTAACTGTAATGGGAAAACAGCATTGATTAGGGTAGGGTTTCACGGTTGATTAATGTGATCCATAGCATTTTCAGTGTAATTTTTCAGAAGTAGATAACCAGGTCTCTCTTCCAGTGTGCTTCTGCAATTATATAGTTTTATTATTTTAATATATAATTTACATGGTTTTTGAGCTCTGGTGGCCCAGTGGGTAAGGAGTTGCACTGCCATCCCAAAGGAACGAGTTCAAATCCACCAGCTGCTCCATGGGAGTAGGTTGGGCAATCTTCTCCCATGGAATTTATAACCTTTGAAAACCTACTGGAGGATGAGGTATGAGCCAGTTATTACTTGACAGCGCATAACAACATACAGTCTTTAAACAGGTTCAATTTTTACTAGGAACAAGTGCTATTTCTGTTCTCAATTCAGGTGAGCCCTTCAGTTTCCCAGCTCATTTCCTGAAAGCATTTCTGGGCTGCAGTACCAGAGAAAACCTTAATAGAGCCCATATTGTTGTTAAGTGATGTTGACTTAGCTCCGACTCATAAGGACCTTATGGACAAAAGAACGAAGTGGAGTAGAATACATTCTTTGAGCCTTTAAGAGGGTCAAGTATGCATAGGTCTCCATGGATCTCCCCAAAATAAAAAAGCATAGATTTAACCCAGAATGAGTAAACAGAGGCTGAAGTAAAAATAAAGTGGGACTTAAGCCATATGAACATGTGAGAAGATATTGGGGGCTGAGGACAGAACAGCTGGGAACTAAGGTCCCAGAGTCTGAGTATCATGACTGGGAGTAACTAGGAACAGAATCCACAAAACTCTGCCTGACTAGGCAAATCAACAGACCAAATGTGATGTCTCCCAGATTCCTAAAGCAGCACTGCTATGAGGATACCCTTTAAGCAATAGTGAGATTATGATGCTAAATCTAATACTCTCCCCTGAGCCAAAATTTTTGGTGAAGTGGTAAGAAGATAGAGGCATTTCCTGACTAGTGGGAAAAGTACAGCCAGTGACTCTTTAGAGCCAAGGACGGCGGAACTGCTCACATACTTGGCGCATGTTGTCAGGAGGCACTAGTGCTTGGAACAAATAAAGGGCCAAAAGACTCTAAATGAGATGGATTGAGACAGTGACTACAACAGTGGGTTTGAGTACAGCAGAGACTGGGAGGATGGCACAGGCTAGGGCATGGCTTTGATCTGTTATTCATAGCAGAGTCAATGGATAGTAGTAGTCTAGGCCTAAGAATGACCGAAGATACAGATGGAAACTTTCTGCAGGGTAGTGTGCCCAAGGTCGGTCCACAGAGCTCCTGCATCAGCTATTCAAGATATGAATCCACTCAGCCCACCAAACACACCAGGAAGCAAGTTACTTACAATTGTCAGCAGAAACAAGAAAGATCATCTTCAGTCATTTGAGCATTGCCATTGCTACAACGTTGGAATATATAGTAGAGAACCAGTTCACTACCATGAAGTTAGTTGAAGTTAGTTTCAACTGATAGCAACACTCCCTCAGGTAGCTTTTGGGTTAGCAGTCCCTTCAGACTGCACCACCAGAACTCCTCCTATAGGGAACTGTACTGGGAATTTGAGCCAATATTCTTACTAGGTTCAATCAAGAAGTAAAATGCAGTGTTAAACATAGCATCTGCTCTGATTACTTTAAATAATTTCATATCTTGTGCGATAAATTTGAAAAGATCTTTTTAGGTCTTTTTTTTTTTAAGCAGAAGGGTGAGGAGATCTTTTTTTAGCAATAATGACTTGTAGTTTTTTATTTCAAAGAAAGTATCTCCATTTGACTTTTTTTGTTTCATGGTGATAAATGTTCTGATTCAGATTCTCCATAATCATTTCAGTAGTATATTCATGTTCCAGTTGTCAAATGGCTTTTAAATTGGAAATCTCTTGAGGGTTATAGAGATGCAAAAGATTGTTTTTAAACAATTTAATATACACATATAGATTCTGGTGGCCTAGTTGTAAGGAACTGTGCTGCCATCCCAAAGGCATGTGGTTCAAATCCACCAGCTGCTCCATGAAAGAAATATGGGCAATCTCCTCCTGTGTGATCAAACAGCCTCTGAAAACTTGTTGGAGGGCCAACAGTGAGTCAGTTCCAACTTAATGGCATACAAAAATGGTCCAGCAAACGAATATTTTAGACAACATACATAACAAAATTTTAATGTACCATATAGCACTCTTACTATATCACAAGATATAAATTATTCCGATTTTAAATGGTGCTTGTAATAATTCTCTCTCCCTCTCATTGCCATTGAGTCAGAACCAAGTCATAGCTGGCCATCCTTTGTATTTCCCAGGCTAAATCACACGGAAAGTGATTGCCTTTTGTCAATCACAGAGTCACTGGTGGATTCAAAGTGAGGTTGCACTTGGAGTGGCCTGGGGTTAGCAGTACACCTCCCTATATAAAAAGAGTCTAGTCAATTGTGTGATACACTCTAACATGATTTTAAAGATGAACCTAACAACTTCCATATTCTTTGATTAAAAGGGGAGAGAGAAACACAATGCCCTTCTATTAGGAATTTAGAACTGGCCTACAGATTCAAGATTAAATGCAGATTTGCATTATAATTAGCAAAGATTGGAAACTGATGGTCAAATTAGAAACAGGCCAAAAATATCATGAAGATGGCATTAGATCTCACAAAGTCACCTTTTGTACATGGCATGGCTGTGAGTTGGAATCCCTCAATGACAACAAACAACAATATAGTGTGTGTATTTCTACGTGTGTGTGTGTGTGTTTATGCATAAATAAACCAAGGAACAAAGAAAAAAAATGGACGCTTGGGATTATACTTTTCAGTAATTTGCTAGCAATATTAAGACTATGACTTTATAAGGGAACTCTTTTGGCCTATAGATACCTATATACTCTTGTGGTCTGTAGGGTTGCAAAGCCAGTGTGGTTAGTGGTTTGAAGCCACCAACAGCTCTTCAGGAAAAAGATGGGTAATCTCCTCCCATCTGCTTTACAGCTGTGGAAACCCAGTAGAGGGTCAGCTGTGAAGCAGTTTGACTCATACTCAGTTTTATTTTGGCGGTGGTGGTGTTTTGGGTTTTGGTAGGGTTTTTTGGTTGTTGGGTTGTTTTTATTGTTTTGTGGTGTTGCTGTTGTTGTTATTGTTTTAGATATGCTTTCCAAAAAAACTTTTTGCCAATTAAAACACTGAAAACTAAAATTACACCCTTTGGCAAATCTACCAACCTTCTATTGCAAATGTAAAATAACAGAGCTTGATTGTGGAAGTCAGACAGATTGGGATTTTACTCCTTATTCCACCACTTAACTAGCTGTTTAAATTGGACAGTTTTGCAGGCTGTGATGGAACAAGTTAAATCTCCTTCCCCCATCTGTAAGTTAAAAGTTAATAGTGGCACAAGATTAAGTTAAACAATCCAATCACAGATGGGCACAAGATATGTGAATAGACACTCTACCAAAGATGACATTCTAATGGCAAACAAACACATGAAGAAATGTTCAAAATCTCAAGCTATTAGAGAAATATGAATCAACACAACAACTCTGAGATACCATGTCATCCCAGCAACAATAGCAAAGTTCAGCAGAGCAACAAAAAACAAATGCTGGTGAGGTTGTGGAGAGATTCACTGCTGGTCAGAATGGAAAATTATATAGCCACAATGGAATATGGTCTGGTGCTTTCTCAAAAAGTTGGAAATAGAAATATAATTTGACCCAGCAATTCCACTGCTGGGAATATAGCCTAAAGAACCCAGACTCAAACAAATGTAGGCACACCTATGTATATTGCTATATCCACATTAGCAAAGAGACAGTGACAGCCCAATTGCCCATCAACAAATGAATGGATAGAAAAACTATGGTACATTTACACAATGTAATATTACACAACATTGAAAAACAATGAACTTGTAAAACATTACACAAAATAGGGGAGGTAGGAGGACATTATGCTGAGTGAAATATCTCAGTTATTAAAGGACAATACTGGCCCCACCCCCGGCACGCACCCCCAGAGCGCGAGTTGCGCGTAGGGGCGGTTGCCCTGCTCCGCGATTGGCGAGAGTCAGAGCCTCCCCGCGGCCGGCGCCCACACCATGGGCTGAGCCGCGCTGCACGCGCGGACACACGTGCAGCAGCACGCCCTCCCCCGACGGCGGTGCTCGCCTTTCGGTTGTTTGAAGATCTTTGGAGAGTTAAGGTAAGCTGTGTTGACCCAAAGCGAGACAAATGCCTCACAGAGCAAAAAGATGCTGGAACCAAGGGCAATTAAAGTTGCCTCAGGTTCTGAACGGCTGGTAGATGAGCTGGCCTGTTGAAGGACATGCTTCAGACTGTTCCGGACCCAGCAGTCTATATCCAGATACCACTCAGGAGTAAATAGGGCTAGCTAGGATCCACCCTACTCTGGAAGCGTTATCAGTCATGAGTGAGGACCAGTCATTGTTTGAGTGTGCCTACGGAACACCTCACCTGGCCAAGACGGAGATGACTGCATCCTCCTCCAATGACTATGGACAGACATCAAAGATGAGTCCGCGTGTCCCTCAGCAGGACTGGCTGTCTCAACCTCCAGCCAGGGTCACCATCAAGATGGAATGCAACCCCAACCAGGTGAACGGCTCAAGAAACTCTCCTGACGAATGCAGCGTGGCAAAAGGTGGGAAGCTGGTGGGCAGCCCAGACACGGTGGGCATGAACTACGGCAGCTACATGGAGGAGAAGCACATTCCACCCCCAAACATGACCATGAACGAGCGCAGAGTGATCGTCCCCGCAGTTCCTACTCTGTGGAGTACAGACCACGTCCGACAGTGGCTGGAGTGGGCAGTAAAAGAATATAGCCTCCCAGACATGGACATCCTATTGTTCCAGAATATCGATGGCAAGGAGCTATGCAAGATGACCAAAGATGACTTTCAGAGGCTCACCCCGAGCTACAATGCTGACATCCTTCTCTCACATCTCCACTACCTCAGAGAGACTCCCCTTACACATTTGACTTCCGATGATGTGGATAAAGCCTTACAAAACTCTCCGCGGCTAATGCATGCTAGAAACAAAGGGGGCGCAGCTTTTATTTTTCCAAATATTTCAGTATATCCTGAAGCTACCCAAAGAATTACAACTAGGCCAGATTTACCCTACGAACCACCTAGGAGATCAGCCTGGACCGGCCATGGCCATCCCACACCCCAGTCAAAAGCTGCTCAGCCATCTCCTTCCACAGTGCCCAAGACTGAAGACCAGCGCCCTCAGTTAGATCCTTATCAGATTCTTGGACCAACAAGTAGCCGCCTTGCAAATCCAGGGAGCGGACAGATCCAGCTCTGGCAGTTCCTCCTGGAGCTCCTGTCGGACAGCTCAAACTCCAACTGCATCACCCGGGAGGGTACCAA